CAGAAGCATATCACAGTATGTACGTAAATGTAATTCACATTTTGCATGTCTCCGCGATTTCGCGATTTCGCCAATTTCTGTATCGCCAGACACGTCGAGGTTATAGTATCACAATGATAAGCGCGTTTGTTAAACGTGGAACGATAACCGGAGGCTGTCTTGTTGTGTCGCGACGTTTAATTTAACAAAAAAGCACGCGCGACAGACGATTATGCGATAAAACGACATGCGGCTCCGGTTTCTTTTTTGAAAGCAGAGATTTATTTTAAGAGCAGAAAGTTTTTTGCTCGAGGAACACGTGGCGAGATAAAGATCGAGAAAGAGAATGGAGAAAAGGAGAGTGAAAGAGCGACTTGAAAATAAAATTAAATTCCGACACGCGGACAATACATGGCAAGATCATAACTTTCTCCAAATGCAAAGAAGTTCTTACGAAACTTTATATTCTGATCTGCCGTGTCTCGGTTCTCTGATGAAAAGTGCTAACTTTTAATATATTGACGACGTAACGAAAAAAAAAATATACGGATAAATTTCTAGAAAGAATTGAAAATCAATATATCACGATAAAACGATTCGGACGTTGTGTACAAGTAACATCTCTCCGATACAGCGATGTACATATAAATTATACATATGAGAATACACACAATAAAATCTCGGTATATGTTGGTAAAAGTTATAGGAGGAGAGAAAAATGTTTTTTTTTGTTTTTTATTGTCTCTCTCTTTCCCTTTCTCTAGCCTCAGTATTCTAGCTTGTGGAAACGGGTTGAGCTGCAACGTTAAATAATGTGAAAGCGCTGCATATATTGTAACGAGGATGGAAAACAAACTAGTGTCGCACAAAGTATGTACGAAGGGAAAATCTTATACATATAGAAGGAATCAACTGTATAACTGCACTTCTCAACACATGGTTGAGAAAAGTGTTCATTTGTGATAACGTTGCGATTGGAGTTTAAAATGTAGATTCTTTGATGACACAGCAAAAGTAATCAGTGTAAAACGCGGAAAAAACTATATGAGTTATATATCTTACTCACATTATTCTATGAATCAGATAGATTGCTTGTTATAATATGTGTAAATTCTTGTTAAATTGAAATCCGCAAGATGACGTATCAGTGCGACTAAGTGGCAGTAATTATGATGTAACAAAGCACGTAATGTAACTTTGGCGTAGTTTAGAAAAAACAATACATGTATTGTTTAAAAAACTATATAGTTTTGTCCTTATCAAATAATAATGAATTATGAAAACATTAGAAAATCATTAAAATAATATATGTATAAATTATGTTATGTTACAAAATATATTGTTACATGAGATAGACATTGAATCGATTAACGAGTCACTTTTTGTTGCGCTTGATGATTTTTATAAGAAATATTGAGAAAAGTTGTGCGATTCTCTCAACACAACAGAAAGATCTTTTACAACTTCCAGACATATGTTTAGTTATCAAGCATTATATAATCGCTAATCCAATTTATGCGACTTTCACTCCGAAATGTCAACGATTGTTTCACTTTGTAGTGAATTCCTCAACCGCGCGCATATCGATCAATCTACTTACATGCAACAAAGAGACGTTTGTTAAAAACGATTTCTCTCTGTATCTGTTTCAGATACAAATAGGCACGATGTATAGTCGTGCGTGTATTGATACCGATATTATCACAAACAATGGACTTGCAAACTGGAAAATAAAGGACTAATGTGATTTTCCAATCGGAAAAGAAGAGAGGAAAAAACTCACATATATATGTACATAAGTTGACGTACATTTTATTCATAATTTATACCTACTTATGTCTGTCTCTGTGATATATATCATTAAAATATTATTGAAGAAAAAAGACTGTTTATTTATTTATATCTTTAAATGACAGTCTGTCTGAAATTACATAGTTTGAAATTAAATGTGAAACAATTTAGCGATGCAAAGATATTTAGCACAATATTGTGTTATTTGAAAATAACAGACATTTTTCTAAAAAAATAAAAGAAATCAAAGAATGGTCAACAGAAAAAGTAACTCAAGACATCATGGACTGAAGAGCTTTACGCGCGTTATGTGTTTAGGAAGATTTTGGCGCGGACATTTTCTTTGGTTATCTAGCTGTATGAGTTTTATTTGACATCATAAAGCTAGGTTACCGGAGTTAAGCTCCTCGCCATATCAACTCCAGCGATCTTCCCCTTGTGCATTTCTACGCTTCAGCGAAAATAAGGCACCAAAACGTACTATCTTATCTAACGTGTCTTGGATATCGTCGTATTGATTTAATTGTAAATAATACAAAGTTAGAAAAAAAAAGTTATAATTTTACGTAACATTAACATTTTCCATTATTATATAAAATACATATGATTATTATTATTTACACATGTAAAACATAAATGTTAAGTATTTATTTTAATAAATATTATAAAACATTACTATTATATTACAATTATTATGTTTAATTCACACACACTATATATGTACATATATATATATATACTATGTAAAAATTGTATGTATTTAAAGAAGTTACAAACATATATGTAGATAACCGTCTGCGTTGCAACGGTTGTCACGTTTTTGTATGAATAGATTGTCATGCTGAATAAAATAGGGGAGCCTAAAATCTCATCCCTCTTCCACGCGTTCTGAAATAGAAAGGACTACGTTATTGTCGACGGCGAATAATTTTCAGCTGCCAAGCCTTCACAATGGGCCAAGTGTGTTCGGTATGAAGAACCGAACAAACATGGATCCATAAAGAGGTAAGCGACACTCGTCGGTTCCGCAACGTACGGAACAGGCAAATGCGACTAGTTGTCTCTCTTTTCTCTCTGTATTTCCCTCACGCGTGAAACTACGAGTTGGGCATTTGTAATAGTCGTTAGTGTCGGTGACACTCGTGACTAGCTTGCCGAAAGAATTTTTCAGAAGCACGCGTATAACTGATATTTCTCACATGTTATTTCGCACCTCGCAAGCGAACATCCTTCGCACATTACGCGGTCACGGACGAAAATAATTCTGCTATTGTGGCAGACGCTTTAAAGAGAGTTATCGCAGTATATATGTGCATATATCACTATATTTATCAGATACATTTAGCAATATGTATTTGGCTAAGAATCCGTTGACTTGCAATGTGATAATGTACATATACAAATATTTGAATATATTTATAACATTTGAAAAATCGAGTTTATATATTCGCAATATCGATAGTGGCCAATTATTTAATGCAATATATATACATATATTGCTAGAAACAACACATTTGGCGTGATGTTGCATGAAAAACTTACTTTATGTTTAAAATTATGAAACTTGAAACGTTAAAGTTTTTCGCTTAAATGTCTTTATAGAAATTTACTAATGTGGCTAAAATATATTTAGTTTAAGTAATACTTAAAAACATAATTCATTTCTTTGTTTCAGTTTTAAAAAGTGTAAAACTGAATAAAACAAATTGTTTTGAATTTGCGCAGAAAATATTTAATTCGTTCCTGTCCCTATTAGCGCGCACAATAGTCTGGCATTGGCTGCGTTCCCTATTAGTGCGTTTGTGTGCACTAATAGGGGACTCAGCGCTTGCTAAGCGCTTTGCGCTTATTATGTGATTGGCCTCTTCCTGTAAATCTATTTGATATATGAAAATACATGCCAATGACAAGCAACAATCGCAAAGTGCTTGCTAAGCGCTGAGTTCTGCTGAACGCAGCCATTTGTTGTGTATATGCACAACGTACGTCACGTTCGGAAACAGCACTCGTGTACACACGAGCGTCATTCTATCTTTGTTTTATATATAATGAGTAATAAAGATAAAATATACACTAGTGATGTTTCCGAACGCAGCTATACTACACAAGATAACAGGTACGGCAACATACACACACAACTATATAGGGAGCTTTTCAGCTACGTACACAGGCGACACTGTGCAACACAGTGTTCACTAGTGTGAGTGAGATATGCTCTTTCTCACACTGGTCTAGTTTCCATCGAAGCATTAATTCACACCTAATGCGACGTAGAATCAAATTTAAGTCGATGGAAACCTGTCAAATTGCGCTGATTTCGCTTCAATCTATAAGTACTCTACTTCCAATGGAAACGGAACACTAAATTTAATCCGTACCGGAGTGAGACCGAATTGAGGGTTTCGGTGGAAACTAGACCAGTGTCGTCTGTGTACGTAGCTGGAAAGCTCTCATAATCAGTCGTATTATATGTCTGTTCGTTTTACCTGAACTGGCCGCTCTAGGTCAGAGTTTATCTTCTTTACTCTACGTTGGAAAAAGAAGGATAAACTCTGACCTAGAGCGGCCAGTTCAGGTAAAACGAACAGACATTATGTCTACAATGCGTTCAATTTGAGAAGAGAAACTGGAGGGACGAAAACTCGTCCGTTTGGTTGGATTCTCATGCAGGCACCGGCGCTTTGACACCGAACGTTGATTGGTGAAAAGCAGATGGTGAGGGTAAATTAGAGCTGCCCTCTTTATTCTCACCATCCGCTTTTTACCAATCAACGCTCTGTGTCAAAGCGCCGGTGCTGCATGAGGATTGCATAGAAGAGAATAACAGAGAACACGGAGTGGGGGAGCCACAGTTGAGACAAAATATATCTATCTCTCTGTTACTTCTCGTGCGGCCCTCTCTATGGTTAGCATATAGGCATGGCCTCTCCATTAGTATAAGCTCTATGGTGGTAGTAGGCAAAAGAAACTGCACAGGTCTAGAATCTGTTAAAAAAATGACGTAGAATGGCGTATGGACTAACTTTATTTTAGGTCCATTGAGATCCAAAAGTTCAAACTGAACTGAACGAATATGATCTATGTAGATGTACAGTCGCGGTCATTGAATCGTTTCGCTGACGCGAGGGGCTAGGGGTAAGAGAGACAGTATTCCCTAGCAGTAAGTACTGCCAACGAGCGTTGTACTAACTACCTGTAGCAGATCTCAACGTATTGATCAATTACGTTAGTCGATTGGTTAATGTGACAAACGTGAAACGCAAGCACGAGTCGCAGTTCACAGATCTCGCGAAATTGACCATTCACGTTTGTCACAGTAATCAATCGACTAACGTAATTGGTCAATTTATCGAGATCTGCTACAGTTAGTGCGACACCCGTTTGCAGTACTTACTGCTAGGGAATACCGTCCCTTTTACCCCTAGCTCCCCGCGTCTACGAAACGATTCAGTGACCGCGACTGTACTTACTTGAGAGATTTATTTTCTCTGTTCTTCTGCGCATAAAATTAGTTACGGGTTATCGCACGATCACTTTTTTTTTAGGAAAAAACGAAAAATTATGATGGCAAGCAAGGTTTGGAAGGTCAGTACTGCAAAATCAACTGGAATAGAGGGAACCATTTATGAATCGCTCGGCATAATGATTCTTACGCCAACAGAGCGTGACTCGGAACTCAGATATTGAACACGATCTTTTCACAGGTGATCCAGCCTCATGTTCCGATGATTAAATTTCGCAAGGGTGGCAAGGCAGGTAAATGTGAACAACTGACATGACCGCGTTGATTTTGTCCGAAAAGTTTTTGTCTGATAACAGTGATATTTTATTGTTGATTATTAGTTGCAAGCGCGACTGCCGCTCCATCTGCACGACCTGGATCAAACCAGATGCAAGAAAATACAAGTAGTGCAAGAGGCCTCGAAGTGATTGTCTTACCAACGATAGAAGATATTCATCTACCGCCGCGATATCAAAGACGATTGATAGATCAGAAAGAAATCGAGTATATTAATGTAAGTTGTGACAGTACAACATAAAAATTTAGAATAATTTGTCAAGTTTGCTCAAGAGTTATATTTTATTTGTTTGATATGCACATATATTACATATAATGTAATATCGTAAAATTCGGATTTTATTCGTTCTATATTAACCATTCTACGTTAATGTGTTACAGCGTGGTGGACCAGAGTGATTTTTACAAGTATTTAAAGTATCATAAGCATTACATGCTACTATAATTTAATTAACTTTGTTATTGATTAATTTAATATAATTGTGATGTTTCAATAAATGATAGAAAACTTGCTGGGAATATTATTTTATATTTATACCAGCCTATCAGACAAGGTCTTATTGTGACATTGCCAGAGTCTGCTATTTCTGGCACATGTTTCAGCTCATTTCTATAACTGCCAATGTGGCTAATTTTGGATCTATGGTAATAAAATTATCTAGCAAAATTCTTTTATTATTATATACTCCATTTGTTTTTAGTTAGAACCAAGAAAAGATTTTTATTAATTTAATTTTTTATCCTGTGTTGTAAGAAGCTTAAAGGAAATTAATTTTGTTTGTAATTAATTATATCTTTTATGTTGTTTTATATTTTTTAAGTGCAGTAAATTTTGAAAATAATATATAGCTGGAAAATGTGTACTCTCAAATACAAAAACTTAGTATGTTCTTATAGTATCCATTGAATAGATACATAAAATCTTTTGCAGACTATTTTAACCTTTAAAGAACCCACATATGGGTGTGCAACAGACTTAGCAACTATAGGCGATTTTTGACAATCGTATGGTACGTGTGCCAAACTATAATTTGAAGTCACTCGAACTATAGTTTGGTACACTTTGGTACATGTACCATACGATCGCCAAAAATCGCCTTATATGGTACATGTAGATAGGTAGGGTAGGTTACATATGTGCATAAATTTTCCGTGAAAAAAGTTTAAGATGTCAATGGAAAAGTGCCGTCTCTTTCTACAGATTAAAATTAATATTTCAGTCTTATAATTTCGAAACTGTTGGTGTAATATCTTTTGCCTTAAGCTAATTTTAAGTGCCTCTAACTTTTACATCTCATCGAATCGCTCCTTAAAAACGGACTATTTCGTTAGCAACTCTTATCGATCAATCAAAATTTATTAATCGGCTTACAAACTATCGAGCTAGCGATAGCGCATTTACGTAAAACCGAGATGTTGATTGAATGTCATTTAAAAAAAATGTGTGTGCTTTTTCCAAATAACAACAAAAATAAATTTTTTATTGCAGTGTAGGTTTTGTTATATTTAATTTTTTCATTAATTTGATAAAAGCTTTATTATCATTAATTTGATAATAAAGCTTTTGAAGCTTGAAGAAATATAACGGGCGATGTGACGCCTTGATACAGCTCTGTGATATGACAAAAATAGCAGACTGCGCTGCAGCTATTATCTCACCACCTCTTTACGGTCTCTAGACGTGAATTCGGAGGACTTGCCATCCGCATCATAATTTTATCAGAGTTTTCTCGAAGTGCGAAACATTTACGAACGACATATCTACTACGAAAATGGCCGAAGTAACAGACTTCGGAACGAAAAGAATGATTTTTGTATTCGCAATCGTGGTTGCTTGCTTCGCAGTGCTATGGCCGAAAATTTTCTACCCTATGCTCGTAGCAACTGTCACTCCACATCCTACATTGGATAGTTCTGGTAAGATTCTAATAATCTGCGCATAATATACTGTTAATGTTGGTATTACATAATTTGTTATAAAAATATTTCGTTATTATGCAAATGTATTTGTTGAGAAGTAGACAAAAATCAATTGAATCCTTATAGGGCCATTGACCAATATATCAGTAGTTTTACTACATATTGTTACTATATAACACTGACGCTAACAGGATGAAATAAAATATTTTGAAACAAAAAATGTTTTCTACACGAAAATATATTTCCCATTGCATAAAATTTTTTTATTGCTTGTTATTTTTAAATAGAGATATAAAATAAATTAAGAAATACATAAACGCATAAAAGGTATATTTTTTATATTTGCATAGCATGCTGCGAAGTAATATTTGAAAGCGATGTCACTGCAGTGGACATTATGCAAGAAATGTGTCAAAACATATTGAGACATCATTCAGTTGATCCACGTGTCAGAGATGTGTTAAAACTTAACAAGCTGACTCCTCAAAGTGCGAGTTTATGTAGAGAAGAAGTCCTAGCCAGATGTGGCATAGACTTATCATCTTTTCTTGCTCAAAGGGAACGCTTGGGGAAAACCTATAAACAAGTATTGGAAGAAATTAGATCATTTAACAGGTCTCTTTGTCTTAAAATGAATTTTGGCGTACCACTATCACAATTAGGAACACCACACCTTATCAGATATCATATTTTGATGCCACACAGTAAGAATCGCAGAAGACACAAAAATAACAAAATTGTGATCATTTACTATTAACAAGATTTTGTTGTGTTTTCTAATGTGTAATTAACTTTAAATTTTCTTTACTTATGTTTTGTTTTTTGTGAAAATGTTTCACAAAATAATTTTGTAATTTTTAGTGTAAATTGATGTGCTTCCACTAACAATAGAAAGTAATTAAATGTTCGGTGCAATTGTTTTCTTATGTGGTATGGCAGTAATGGTTCATGATTTTTGTAACAAGTTAAATTTTAAGAAACAATATCAATGTATCGCATCATCACATATATGTAAAAAGGAGAATTTGAATAAAAAGATAGGGAGAAGGCAATAACGAGCTACACCTAATGTTCAGGTAAAATTCTTCTTTAATCCGAGGAATTAAAAAGAGATACAAAAACGTTTCGATTCACTATGGGATTTTCTTCAGTGTTTTGATCCTACAGTGGATCAAAACGTTTTTGTATCTTTTTTTTAATTCCTCAGATTAAAGAAGAATTTTACCCAAACATCAGGTGTAGCTTGTTATTGCCTTCTCCCTATCTTTTTATTTAAACATACGAGCACAAAACATACAAGGAGATTTGAATTGTTCATTTTTTCTGCTTTAGCTACATGCCTAAAAGCAAGTAATGTTTAACTAACAAGATCTGGCTTATAGTCAATTTTATAAATATATAGATATTCATTATCTATATCATATTCCTCTTAAAATCAGATTTTCAATATAATTTCTGGAGTAGAGTTTATGAAAAAATTAACAAATTATCATAATACAATATCTATAATAACATATTAATAATAATTACCTTATTGCAACAATCAGCATATGCTTATGCTAATCTCTGGCATGTTAACATTGAATAAATGAGTTTTTTACAAATTGATTATTTATTTACGTGCAAACTATTACATATGTTTTATGCATAGGTACCATACGACAAGAGCGTCGTACTCCTCCTCATGCAGGCGGCATGCATCCTGCATTGAGAGAGCGTGGAAGAGCCATACCGTCTTCTCATATTATGCCAAAAATAATAGAAAGGTCTGACTATATTATGCCGAAAACAAGACCACCTCTCGGCAGTGCTGGTCGTGTTGTTTCAGCTCCGCAAGGAAGCGGTACAATGGGAATTATAATGCCACTGTACACGATAGGGATAGTTCTGTTTTTCCTGTATACCATTGTTAAGGTAATATGTAAGTGCGGGACAAATCCTAGCAAAGGTTTACAATGAAGTAATCAGAGATGAGTATACTGATGAATATAGTATTACTAGGTTTTGAAAAAGAATTCCGACAATGAAATTGTTTTACCTTCGGAATATCGCCAGCCAGGAATAGCTGCTGAAAAAGAATTTCAAAAAATGGTGTTTAATCCAGAAATTTTTGCGACCGCGATGACTGCTGGACTACATTATACACGGGAAAAATCGCCGGACAAAACTGCGCCAAAAACAGACGAGTTAAAGGATCGTAAGCGCTTTACAAATAATTATTTTGTTACAAATTATATTTCATCTTATATCATCGTTAATGTAATATTTTTGTCTGAGAAAATTTTTAATTTTTGTTTTTTGGAGGAATATGTAGAATTAAAATATTTTCTTGAATATTCAAAACAAATTCTTAATAGTTGCGTGATACAAGGTTTGCACAATTAGAACACACACGTATTTTATATACGCGCAAATATACATTACAAGATTCTAAATAAAAACAAAAATGCGTATATTATAAGTACTCTTATGCTTTGAACACATTTGGTAATGTACATGCTGGAACACAAGAAGCGGCAGGAGATATAGAGATAGACCAACTGAGACAACGATTGGTTGAAACGGAAGCAGCCATGGAAAGAATAGTTGTCCAAATGGGCAACATATCACGTTCAGTAATGAATAACTCGGGCTCACAACTAGAAATCAAGGTTTACTATTATTAGTTTTGTCGTAATTCATAATTTCAGTTTATTAGTCGATAGAAATGTGCACGTCGCTGTGTTCTGATTGCGTTACAAGCTTTATCCATCTAATGTACATTAAAAATGTTGTACATTTAGTATAAGACTCTTGCCTTCAATATTTTGCTTTTCCAAATATCGATGCTTGTTGCGGATAACTGTTACAGAAATTACAAATTTTATAAAATAAGATTTATATTGATGTATATGTTAAACGATGTGAGTGCGATGATATTCAGTACAAATATTTAAATCAGAATATGTATTCAGTAATAGAATTCACGCTGTTTATTTTACGTTTTGAATAGTAGATGGGGTTCCAAAATCCAATGGTCTGGCAGGGGTTGGTCGCGGTTGTAAGGTATATTTCTTGTCTCCGAAAATATTTCTAACAAGAATAACTAAGAGTTTGTGGGACATTTTTTTTTATTATTTGTTTATCTGCACTAGTTTCATAAGTAATGAGTTTATTACATGTAAATGTTTTTTAAACTTGTATATGACGGTTTCATTGATACGATTTTAAAGTAACAACATTTGTTTTATAAATGGGAAAATGTCATTATCTTTATATAAAAATATATGTGACTTTTCGATGTGCCAAAGTATTGTTGAAACACGAATTAAGAAAATACTAGCTGCTCTTTCTATAACTTCTTGATCATAAATAGTAATTGTGTGTCTTGCATGAGATATTTGCTTATTTTAATAGTTTATTAACATAATATTACATATAAAAGCAATATTAAAATTGTATTCTGATATATGAATATCTTACAAATACTACAATTATTATACCATATTTTTCAAATACCTATGTAATATAGACACTTCAAATATCTACGTAGATCATATCTAAAATTTGATTGGCTTTTGTTATACATGTATATAAAAACATATTTACTTAAAATGTGCAAACTGACTCTTGTAGCAAAATGGCTTTGAAATTACTGCATACACACACACACACACACCTATATTAATTTATTTATTTGTGTTATTACATAGTTCTAATTTAAAAAATATATATAAAACCAGTTGGATCAACGTTTTTATATAACAAAAGAGTGATGTTAATCAATTTACAGGAGGACAATACAAGCCAGGAGTTACACGGTAAAGAAGATGAAGAACTAGATGTAGAAGCGGAACAATCACCAACAGTTAAAGTAATGGGTATGGAAATGACAGCTAGTTGTGAAAGTGGACAAAAATGTAGCAGACCTACCACTCCTATTATTCCTATACCACCAAGGTATTTTCCAGCATTTCATTTTTAACATTTTTTTATATTTTTTTTTTTTTTTTTTTTATCAGTATTTTCTGATTTATTTATTTAATATTGGCATACATCTCTTGTATCAGTAATATAGAAAGAGAAAAAACACCACCAAAACCCATATATTTAGAAGGGGCACTGCCACCGCAATGTGAATTACTCGTAACCGATTCAGAAACTCAAGCAGAAAAGTCAGAGGACGAAGACGCTCCTATTGTTCTCTCAGGCAAAATGACACTCTCTCTCATCAGTCTCGACCAGATTGCAGCTGTAAGGAAATATTAGAATTACCAACAGAATCGAATGAATAAATCTGCGGAGCCTTGGTTTTATTTGGTGATTCTTTCATTTATATTTAATTCTTTGCCTAACATTTCTGTATAGATTACTGAATATTATAAATCACAGAAACTAAATACAAGTAAAACAAGATTCTTTTTATTATTATATATGTGTAATAATATATTACATAATATATGTATAATATATATATACATATATGAGTAATATATATTGATTTCGCAATTATTTTTATTGTTTTCTGTGATTTGTTTTAGATATTAATGATTAGTGCTTTATATTCTTTGTTTTTATTTGTTTCTTCATTTTCATAAAACACACACTGGCTTATTAATTTTCACTTCTATTTTTTTTATAAAAAAATCCAATACTTTCGAATTAAATCGTTAAATTTTATGAGTATAAATTAAAACAAATTTATCGATCTTTTTTCAGAAATATTCTATTTTATATTTCGTTCAAGAAAACGCCTTTTACTTTTTATTTTGTATATTATTTATGTGTTCATGTATAAAGTTGTATTATTTAACTAAACGATTTTGTTTTTGGATTGTATTTTTTAATTTTATTGATAGATGTTTATAATGTTGTCGTAAATATGATGCTAAAATATAAGAGACAGTGTTGTGCAGGTTGTCTTTTTTGCAAAACCTACTATCGCGTATTAAAACTGCTCACATTAACATATTAACATATAACTGCTACGATGATACAGATTAGTAATATTTTTTATTACATTAATATTGAAATATTTTTTCTCACTCAATAATGCTACAATTAATATATAGGATTCAGAGAATGAAGCTCAAAGTGAACAAGATAAAGAAATTTTGAGTATCTCAAGAGAAGATAACGATATAAAAGACGTCTTCTCGAGAGAAATATGCTCGGAAGAAAAAGACAAGAAAAAAGTAAAGAATAGAACAAAAGATGTGAAGGATAAAAAAGAAAACATCGATATTAAAGAGATAGATGAAAAAAGAGTAAAAGAGCGACAGAAAGAAGAAAAAAAATATGAAGAAGAGGAAGAAGAAGAAACAGAGAAAGTGAAACAAATAGACATAAAGACAAAAGAAGAAAAAGTAACAGACACGAAGAAAGAAAAGATAAAAGTAGAAATAGAGGAGGAAAAGAAGAAGGAGAAAGAGCAAACAATGGCAGAAGAGGAAGAAGAACAGGACGAAGAAGAAGATGAAGAAGAAGGAGGAGGAGAAGAAGAAGAAGAAGAAGATGAAGAAGAAGAAGAAGAAGAAGAAGAAGAAGAAGAAGAGAAAGAAGATGAGGAAGAAGATGAAGATGAAGATGAAGATGAAGATGAAAATGAAAATGAAGATGAAGATGAAGATGAAGATGAAGATGAAGATGAAGGTAATGGCACTGAATCGGATTCAATACATTATTCGGGAGATTCTGATGATCCTTAGATCAAAAAAAAAAAGAAAGAAAATGAAAGAAATTATAAAAGACTAAGTAATTCTGTTTCTTTAAATAAATCAGTGTTTACCAATCTTTAAAAGACGCTTGTATTATATAAAATAAAAAGAAACATTCAATTATGAAAAAAAATATAATAAACTGGGGTCCATAGTATAACATTTGTAACACAAAAAAATAAATTTGTTAATTAAGTACTGCTAGATATTTAAAATGTGTGCATCGCAACTTTAGTTTTTTTCTTTTACTGTTATATTGAACGTTTTTCTAAAATTTATATTTATTTAATTACGAAATTCTAAAAAAAGCAGTGCTTTGTTAATATGTCTACGTGCTGTATAATACAATAATGACAGATAAATTGATTTATTATATTCGTTATATATAACTTTGTAGAGATAGAAAGTTATTTACGAACAATTCATTGGTTTATTTACGAACTTTTTAGAATTTTTTTGTAAATGCTTAGTAGATGAAACCAAGTTGGAAGAAGTACGAATTTTTCAAACGTAGCAACTTAGTGATTGGCAAGCACTGATACAGTCAAGCAAACGCCAAAAATCTAGTTTTCCTTTTTTTACTATGTGTAGAGTTTATTCGTGACTTTTTGCTTTAATGTTTAAAACATTGTATAGTCTGGAATTTAAAAAGAGGATGTCGCATTTTTTGTAAAAATTTATACATTCAGAAATGTCTATTTATGTCAAATAAAATAATGTAAGAGTATTTATACTAAAGTGTGAGATTAACAAAGCTATGTGGACATAAAGATTTACAAAAGCAATCCGTAGAAAATAAACTTCCACTGTACGAATTCGTACATAAAATAAAGTATTCGTGCTGAAGCGCGCCATTACACACACACAAGTTATAGTATATTATATAATAAAAAGTATGATATTACATAATATAACAAAGTAATAATTATTTTTGTCTTTTGTTTTTAATTCTATATTCTTACCTAAAGTGAAATCTTTGGAATTGAGTATGATCATTAAAGTAAAATTGTTTTGCCATCCCATCTCTTTAATATCTAATAAAAATAAAGTCCGAAGCACAGACTTTTGCATAACACATAACGCATAAGGCTAGTATTACATTTGTCGTACAACAAAGATTTTAAATATATTGAAATCGTTGTCGTACGACAAATGTAATATTAGTCTAAAGACCGAAATAGCTTGCATACTGCATAACGCATAAGAAAATCAACCAATCAGAACTTTCTAAGATGAGGGGTGAGAATGGGAAATGGAAAATTTTAATTGGTTGATTCTCTTATGCATTATGCAAAAGTCTAAACTTTGGTTCGACTCATCTACATTCTGTTCAATGAGAGGATACGAGAGGATATCCTCAGTCTGCGTATGTATACAGGGGTGATTTCCAGTTCTCGAGAAGAGTCGAAGTGCGTCGATTGAGGTCGATCACAATTACAAATGGAAAGCGACGTGTGAATGCTTTGTGTGGAATGTGTCGGACTGTGTCTCCTAAAAGGAAAACAGCCATAAAACGGAGACGCGAATCACAAATCTCATGAAATTGACCAATCACGTTGGTCAAATAAGCCAATTCCGTGAGACTCAACTTGTGATCTGCGTCTGCATTTAAATGTAGATCGACCTTAAATTAGCCAACTTCGCGCACGCGCGTTATTGCGTGAAGACGTATCGTACCAGCTTAATATGACATTGTTTTACATTATTGAGATCGAGCCGATTTAATACGAATATAGTACTTAATACGCGTATTAAACGATCGGTGTAAACTAGGCTGATGTATATATTTACTAAATTTTACGCTTTAACATACCACATACACAGTGACAGTTATACAAGTTTTCTAACCCCTTAAAGATCACCATTAAACTATAGACATATGTCTGTTTTAAACTTCACATCAGACTACAGATCATGTGAAATTAAATTTAACTAATCAGAATACAAAAAAACGAATTTTAAATTTAGTAAACTTTGTAGAACTCTCACTTTAAATATATTTTGCACAAAAAAACATTGATTGTGCAGACTTTTATAAAAAAAACCTTAAGGTGAGAAAGCAAAACTAAATGATTAATATGTCCGAAGTTACTTTCTCCACATTTGTTTTGTTTTATTGATAATATTATATACATTTGTGTTATTTTTTGTATGTTTATTTCATTTTGCAGTCTAAGACTATGAGTAAAGAACGTGGAGTTTTCAAACTGATTTGGAACAATTTTATATTGTCATTAAAACCTCGATTTGCTCGTCGTAAATTGGTAGGTGAAGATCATTATGGCACAAAATATTATGAAGAAGATATAAAATATTCTATCCGGAAAAGGTCTTCTCGATATTTCGAACCTGTAAACAAAGATGATTTTGAACAAGAATTACCAGCAGAATGGGAAGCCTGGTTGAGATATCGTAGAAAAAATCCACCTACACAAGAAGAAACAGAAGCTAATTATCGGTTATCAATAAACAAAAAAAAGAATGCAAAACTCTTAAAAGAGCAGTATTCCAAGAATAACACTGATCTTGCTTCATCTACTTCTCAGTCTACTCCAGGAAATTTCCCAGTTTATGAAGAGTATAAAAATGCTGGTAGAGATTATAAACCGAAAGATGCATATAAAGGATAATAATCTTAGAATTAAAATGTTGTATTCATATAGCATTGTAGTATTTATAATTAAATAATAAAAAATAAGGATAATAATCTTAGAATTTAAATGTTGTATTCATACAGCATTATAGTATTTATAATTTTATAGTGGATGATAAAAAAAAATTTATATCTTCAAATTGTAGGTCTGCATGTATATATGTACGCGCGCGCGCGCGTGTGTGTACGCGTACGTACACACGATAATGCAATCTTGTGAACGTATTATGAAAATTCAATAAAACAGTTTTTAAAGCTGTAAATAAAGCGCACTTTATTATATTTTGTTATGTTCTCTATATATGTAAATTAGAGATATATTGCCTTCATGTACAAGTGATATTTAACATTCAAATTAGAAAAGTAAATTATCAGTTTTATAGATAATTTAGCGCGGTGATATAAACAAAATTTTATTTCTTGAAAGATTTAATAAATGGGAGATTCTTTACCAAAGATTACAATTACAAATCGATTAGAATCAAATTTAACTTTTTTTTTTATAAGAAAACGTTTGAGAATACTAGATAAATCCGACTCTTATTTGATTTATTCTGAATTATTTTCTCTCAAGGTTTTTTGTACCGTGCATATTCTACAATTTGTGGCTATTATTCGATTATGAGTTATTGTTAGAATTGTGTGAGATATTGTATGCATTCGATTTTTGCTCTTTACTGTTCACAACTATAAGATCTTATAAATAGTAAATTTAAACAGCGTGCACAATTCACACTGGCAGTTGAAGTAGTAATTTCCTTATATATGAATAAAATGGACAGAAATTCAATATATAGTGAAATGAAAATACTGTGCTCATCAACCAGAAAAATCACTATTGTCAAACAAAGCTTGGTCATACAGTTCTCCTTTAACTAGTCGTCCACCGAAATAACGACCATTCAACGAATCTCTTGCGCGTTCTGCTTCTAAAAGAAAAAACGTTTAAAACTATTTCAATAAATTGTATGATAAAGGCTACCTACATTTTTCTTATCATGGTGACATAATTTTAGTTTGAGAAACTTTATATATACAGGGTGTTTGAAAAATTTTGACACACCTGAAGTGCAAAGGTAGATTGGATTAATCTGAACAGAAAAGTTATGTACCATTTTGCAAAATTTGTAATAGGTATTGAGTGATTAATTAATACATGTAAACCATGAGCGCGTGAAAAGCAATGGTCCGGAGTTTAGTAGGCGTGTATGATTTTCAGTTGTAAAGAAAACTGACTTTTTGCATGCAATCTCCTAAGAGATAAAGAGAGCAAGAAGCGAGTGGCGAGTGACACAGCTTTTCGCGATCAGCTGATTTTCACAATTGAAAATTATACACGCCTACAGAGTCCGGACTATCGCTTACCACGCGCTTATTAGATCACATGTATTAATTAATCATTCAATAACTATTGCAAATTTTGCAAAATTGTACATGACTTTTCGGGTCAAATTAATCTAATCTATCTTCACACTTTTCGGCTGTATCAAAATTTTTCAGACAATTTTTCAGACCCTGTATATAACTTTTATACATATATATATACATATATTCGTTGTCTATTTACCACTCATTTGGGAGAATAAAACGAATATCTTCACAATAACTTCTGCATTATCGTCGTCCTCAGACTGTTTTTCCTTATATATAATAACTCTTTCGACCACGCCAAATTTGGAGCATTCATCCTGAATTTCTTCTTGCAGTGTCTCATCCACGTCTTCTGGCGCTACCATGTTTCTTAAAATAACAACTCGAGATTCGACTTTACGCATAAGCTTTTGCATTACGAGATGACGCGCGCTCTGACCCTTAATAGACATATTCTCTTGTTGTTGCAATGTCTGTGGTTCTGTTTCTTCTAATAATTTTTTCTGTAATTCCTCCTGTTGTTTCTGATGAGCCGCTTGTTCTTGTGCTCGCCTCATAATGTCCGAACTCGCAGTTGTTGTAACTGGTATCTACCAAGTAAGAAGACAAATTTTCCAAAAATCAACATATTTTTAATTCTATACTTTCTTAACACATTGATAAAATACTTACAACTGGTGTACCAACAATTGTAGGTGCTACAACAGCAGGAGGTGGTATGACGACTGGTTGACCAGGAATCGGTTGAATAATAGCGGGAGGTCGCGTTAACGTTTGTGGTATGGCTATGCCAGGTGGAGGTATCACTGGCGCTACTGTTGCTATCGTTGGCGGTGCCATTATTGTTGCCGGTGCGATAGCAGGTCGCACTACACCAGGAAGTGCTACAATAATGGAAAAAAATATATAACTGATTATATTATATAAAAGTATTAGTTATACTTGTAGATTTAAATGCTAAGATGTTAAGTTTGCAAACCCTGATTCAAAAGTGGTGGTGCTGCAGCTCCTAGTTTTGTCAAACCTAATGCAACTGCGTTACTAGCTACTGCATCCATTGCTTGTATTTTTGCAGTTGCAGCTGCAGCAGCTACTGCAGCTGCGGTAGGCATCATGCTAGTACCACTAGGAGGTCCCATGAGTGCATTCGGTGGTGTTATGGCTCTTCCTACTCTTAGATATTGACCACCGAGATCAAACAAATTCATCGAGGCAATAGCTTCTAGAGCAGCTTGCATCGTCTCGTATTCGATAAATCCATAACCTTTATGCCGATGTGGAGAACTGCCTTGTGCAAGCTTGCAATAGGTGATTGGCCCAAACGCTTCAAAGACTGATTTGATGTCTTCCTCCGTTAAATCGTGATGTATTGACGCAATATATATGCGATTATAATGCTTGCTCTCTTCAGTGATCTCATCGATTACAGATTGTGCCTGCGGCATATTAGACGGACGTCCAACAACCTAAGAAAAATACAAAAAAGATGTTTTCTGTTAAAATATTAATTTTTCTAATACTGTATTAAATTTTGCTAGATTATTTATTAAATAAATGTACAAATAACATAGAATATAGTGGGAGAGTTTAATAAGGAGATAAAATAAGTATCGAAAAATACAATACAACAATGTACATGAATTCATAAGATTTTCAAGCAAAATGCACTTCAGATGCAATTCACTCGAAGATCATAAGTATTGAATAAAGAATTAAATAAAAATTTGCCGACCTCCGGCGGGATGATAGGATTGCTGGGAGACAGGAAATTCGTTATATAGGTACGTCCCGCTACCTTGATGTTGCGGCCACCAATCATGACACCATTCATTTGTTCCAATGCGAGTTGGGCAGCTTCCGGTATCTCATATTCAACAAAGGCAAAGCCCTTGTGTTTCTGCGTAACAGGATCCCAAGACATATTAATCGATTTGATTGGTCCGAATGGCAAAAAAGCTTGCCTGATCGTGTCCTCTTTTAGTTCAAAACTAATGCTGCCCACATAAACCCTGTTATACAATTATATTACATTTGTTATCGATTTAACGCACAACTGGATTTTTTAGTGCAAATATTTTATTTGAATCTGCATATTAATCACATGCACTAGAATAATTATGTACAAAACACGGAATTGCATCGATTTTGCGAGAGGGAAAAAATGTTTCTCTTATGTGCGTCTCTTTCAACTGCTGTTAAAGAATTACCGACGATTGAAAATAAATCGTATTCTTTCACTTATCGCAAAACCAATTTAATACTGCGTTTTGTACTAATCAAAACCTCACATTTTAAATTCTTATTTAAGATTTAGATTGTGATAATTTTTGACGAAGTTACAGCTACTTGAATTTTGCCTAGTTTTTGAAGAATTATCAAGTGTTCCTTTAATTATTGTAAAAAATATGACAATATTTATATTTAGATCAGAAAAATTTTTTGCAAGTGATCGATGTATGTACAGTCGAATTCTGCTTGACTCAACTCTGCATCATTCAAGTGATTTGCACTTGTTTGTTAACATGGCAGTAATTCGCTCCAGTCTGTGTTCTCCTCTTATGCTCCTATCCTGCTACAGTCACATTGATTTTTCATGCGCAGAACAAACTCAACTTTTATATACGCATGTTAAACATAACTCCTGTCAAATAATAAAGAAGACACTTGAGTCGTACAAGTTATGGCTTTTGCAGACCGAACACGATGAGATCCAATCAACGCGATCCAATTATTTTTTCGAATGTCACTTCTATCGTGAAAATCGATGCGATGTCCCATCAGATATCGCTCATTGTTCATCGTCTAGTATCGTTATCGCGTCTAGTGTGCAAAAGCCATTATTCGGTCCCGACGAGTTGAGTAGTGAGGAAAACCTGCTATATGTTTACTAACTTTTAGCTTTTTCGATTGGAGCAGGTTTTAATCGCTCTAAGAAGGATTAAGCCCGCTCCAGTCGAAAACATTATACATGCAATACAGTGTCCGCTAAATTCGAGTAAGTGAAGGCTGCATCCCTAGCAAAGTCAAATAAAAAATAATTCGCTGAAATCGTTGAAATCTACAGTAGAGTTTCTATATTCTTCAGATCTATAAACTCGCTGTTCTCACGCCTCGCCTGTATTTTCCTACTCTTTGGCAAGACGTTTCTTGCACAAAACGAAATAACATGCGCGATTAGCGTGCGAGTGCCTGTAACAGTCGACAGTGGGATAACAGCATAATAGGAATAAAACATAAAAGCCCTTCTTCGTGAGAATAAAGAACGATGAGAATATAGAAACCGTGCTGTATGTGTAAATACATAATATATCAGAAATCGTTTATAAATAAGAAACTAATGAGATTGTGTGCTTATAACAAAACAATTGTTATAAACAGAAAGTATAACGATACTAATAAACTATGAACGCGTATTATATATTATATTTATGATAACGATATGCGTATACATATAGAAAAAAAGTAACAATATATTAGCTATGGAATATTCAGAAATGGTGAGTAGCACATTGGAAGATATAGAAAACAAATTTTTATGATTTACTAATATGATTAAAAACTGTATTGGTGGTTCTTAGATTTTCTAAAAATAGAAAATTTTCGCACGTGCGTAAATCTTTACCTTTTTTTAAGTATTCAATTTTATTATCATTTAATCACCAAGAGTAGAAAAATTAAGAACGCATTTAAAAAATAATAAACTATCTGAGTAAGATTTTTTCTCTCATTCTTAAATTACATTGGTGGATCTTGCACACAAAGTTTCGAAAGCTAAGGCAATGAACAAACAAACCTGCACATGAGAGCGAGAGCCTGCTGTCTTTGCACCTGATTCCGTTGACTAGCCATTTGCTGCAACACAAAGGACCAAAGGCCTTCTATTATCCTAGATTTGGAAATGGGGGAGATCCCTCTCCCATTTCCAAATACTGTATCTCATTGATTTCGACTAACCCTCCCCCCTCTCCCCAAGCTCTTTTACCAATCTAACTTTTGTGCTCAACCTTTCTGAATTATTAATTTATAAATCTTATAAAGTTTAATATAAAATTCTTTAAGCAATACAAACTGTATTGCTACAGAAGAGAATCTTTCTAATTTTCTTACTATTATAAAAATAATTATTTAAAGTTGCAGTGTAAATAAATTCGCAATAATTCTCTTATCAAGAATATATAAATATAAAAAATAGTTTGAAAAAATAGTTTTTTTTTTTTAATACATCTCTTAAGATTTTATGTAATTTAAAGGTCAAGTTTCTATTATTTTTCACAAAAAAAAGCATAGTCGAGCTCAAAAGTATATGTTAAGAATGATTTAAGTATTTATGCATTTACAAAAAAACTTGTGTTCCTTCGCGTTGTTACAGCTCTGCTCCCGCCGACTACTATCATAAGATATCTAATCTTCTTTTAAATGGTAAACCAACTCAGATAAATGTTTAGGATTGTAAGGCGGATTTATCATTTCTTTCTTGATTCAATTGACACTAACCTGCACATGAGCAATAAAACTTGCTGCCGCAGGACCAACTTATTCTTCTGCGGAGAGAAAAAATCAACCAATCAGAGTTAAGTTCCAATGTTAAATTTGTTTTTTTAATCTTTGTATAGCTATCAACACAATTCGGCGGGACGAGCTATCTTAGGTTTGTGTACACTAAACTTATATGTATTTTATTTATCACAATTATATAATTGGCAAAGAGCTAAACAGAGATACAATTTCTATACAATTTAGATAAAATATGTAATCCATTGTGTATATTCTTAAGAAAGGTCTTGAGTGTAAGATGCCAGAATAACGGGTCGAAGAAAAATAAACTGGTTTTAATACGTTATACTATATTTCTTTAATAGTTATATTGTTCTTAATATACCTTGGACATTTTAATTGTTTACAACTCAAGTTTACAACTCATTATACATTGTTAGCAATAGATAGAAAAAAAGATTTAAAAATATTCAAAAATATTCATTCAATTAAGACATTAAATAATAAAGAAAGTCTTTTTTAATATAGGTGCCAACTCTCTTTGGATTCTGAATATCTGACACAAATAATTGCGACGACATCGAACAACGTAATAAAGCGCTCTTGAAATGATATACTAAGCAACTTTGAATTTTGCGTAAAAGTTAAAGAAAAAAATTTTCATTCAGCTCTCCTCCGCTATTGCACGCGATTCTCTCTTTCAATCTCAGTCCGTAGCTTTTTCAATCCAACTGTATGATCAATTAAGCGGTCCGAGGCCGGAGAAAAACGACACATAGTGGGGAAGAACCGCAGAGAAACATCTACTTCTAGCCATTTTGCCTTTAATTTTTTTTTAACTTCGAAGTAAACTTTTATGAAACGTATTATCTTTGATAATGAAACTTTTTAATAAGACAATAAAAAACATCGATTTTGTTTTACTCGTTATCTTTTGGCATCCTTTCTTAAAACTTTATAATTTAAATAAATAACTAGATATAAAAAATTGCATGCTACATATGTATATTTATAAAAACATAATAATGAAATATGTAGAATGACACAATGGACTAAATATATGTAAAACATTAGATATGATTTGAAAATTACCTGTTGTTGATGAGCCAGAGTCTGCTTCATGAGGACCATCTTAATACTTTGTTCCATTGCATACTTTTTTGCTCTGTTTACTGTATCCTGTTGTTCAGATGTGATTTTTGGTAGGCCAGCGCCTAGTATTCCGGGCAGTGTCAGATATTTAGCGCCAGGTCCTACAGAACAAAATCGGAAAAGATGCAGTTTAAATTGATATAATATACAATTGTGAACAAAACATTTTTTTTTTTTTAATCAGATCTTATCAGCAAAATGTCCACGAAATCCACAGTGTCAATGCTCAAAATTACTTAAATTGGATTGACTTAGAAAAAATGTCACAATAAACTTAATACATCATCTGCAAATTCTTATAACCCTAGAATATGCATGTGACGTTTGAGAAATGCCACACGGTTTTTTTATGTATGAATCTTTTCTTACGGTCTAACAAAGGTCTTCAGATAGTAATATAAAACAAGTTAAATCTAATATAGAATGAAATAATTGCCGAAAGATGATATTGTTTTTTATAGTGTCTTCATAAGAACAGACGTTTCGATTATTGTATCTTGGTCTTTATCAATGCGTTAGAATGGTTCAGTTAAATATTTAAATGATTACGAATTTAAGCCAAATTGTAATGATAAAATGGTGGAGTGTCTTCAAAAATCAATATTATGCAATTTAAGAAATATCATTTATCAAGTTTAAATATTTATATTTGTTATTTGTTTTTCTACAACTTACGTTTCAGATTACTTTTCGTGTCACGTTTATCTTTAAAGGATACAGTTTCGATATATAAAATTCTAAAACGGACATCAAAATGCTTTGGTGACCAAATTGGGAAAGCGTCTGCACGGAATGCGAGAAGTCCAAGTTTGACTCTTGGTCAAGATTTCTTTTTCACAATGGATTTTTTAAATTTTATAAGAAAGTAAATTGGGTATTTTATATATATATATATATATCAGTTCTTACTTGAAACACGTAAATTCGAAACGTCAGACTAAAACTGTACATTATCACGAGCTTTAATACTTTGACATAAAACTATAATAGTTATCTTGTTTAGTCTGACGTTTCGACTTTACGTGTTTCAAGTAAGAACTGATTGATCACAGGCAGAACAGTACAACTTGAAAGTTTTCGTACTCCATATATTTTCGAAAAAAGGATGTGTATTCTAGGGTTAAAACGAATCAAAATACTTTAATAAAAAAGTCAAATATAGTGTTACATTATACATACCAGCAACAACCTGACCAATTTGGTTGAGATCATATATAGGGCCTGGCAAGAACTCTGATGCACTTCCTGTGAAGAAATAACAAGTTAAAATTACTTGCATTAAGGAGATAAATATTATAAATATTTTAAACATCTTTTTTTAAGAAGTTATGCCACCATATAGTCTTTCATTCAATTGACAGATTAAAAAATTTTTTTTTTATTATCAATTATTTCTCGGGTGGCAATTATATTTCACAATTACAGAAACAAAACTTTATTGTTGTTTCTTTAATTATAAAATATAATTGTATAAATGAAATAAAATCTAGTTGTTTTAATTCAATTTTACAAACCATTTTGAAAAACTTAATATTTTTAATTCATTTAATGAATAAGATGTCTACAAGTAGTAATATCGCAAAAAAGTTGATTAGTCTTCGGGGAATATTTTACATATATTTTTACATATACTTCCTGACAAGAAGAATATAAAATATATATGTATAAAATATATAGAAATACACATTTATGAATACATGTAACGTCTTGACAACCTATTTGCCCTAGGCTAGTAAAACTTCTATTAGTCGCATTCGGGTATACGGGCGCATTATTCTTATTCGTATTGCGGAATATCGTTCTTAACACGGGAGTACCATGACGCCGTGCCAGAAGCTGCTATGATAAAACCGTCCTCCAAACTGTAAGTTTACAGAAATTAAAACGATCAAGGAATATTGCAACTCTATTAATAAATATGTAAGTATGTATGTATGTATGTGCCAGTGTGTACATGTATATGAATGTAGAGCATATATGCAAAAAGTACACATCTATGTTAAACTATATATTTGTGCAGACATCGAAACGGAGAAATTTCTCGTCTGATGCATGCTATCGGAAGAAACAAAGTATAGATCGGAAGACCACAAGAAATTTTTTCACAAGCGATAAAACAACTTGCAAGAGAAAATGAATGGATCAAACGTTCATTTGAAGTATTCATTAAACTGATCAAACATTCGGTCAGAAAAAAAAGCATCATTAAATTTGAACTTTTTAGTTACTCTTTACACAATCAGCCCCAAAAATCTCAGACTATTCATTATTAGATTAGGTTTCATAACCAATTTAGTCTGCTAGTCTCTGAAACAGAAATCAGAAACAGAAAAAAAAAAAACAGAAGTCAATTTGACTTGTCGTGAATTAAAAGGACTCAAAGTTTCGTTTAGTCACGATCGATTTACAGCTAACCATGTTCTGGGCTGAGCAATGACGGTTGTGCGCAAATTATCCGAGATTGAAGCGACGCACAAATCTGGAAGCACAAAGCAAAGGAGAATACTCTCAGTGCATTATCTGCGCCATATTCGTAGTTTTTGCCTTTTCCAACCTACTACTTTTCTCAGCCTAACACTTTATATGTGGCAATGGCGAGATCTCAGACAATGCACAGACACATGTAAATTTTTTCCCATGATTGAATGTTAGAATTACGATTTAATATATCTTTTCAATAATATTAAATTATATATACGACGTGATTCTTTCTCTCAAAATTTTATGTTCGTAAACAATTTTTCACATAGTACCTATATATATAGCACGTACACTCGGACATCGTTATAATTGCCTCAAATCAGCGCGCACTTTGCATAAAAATAATAGAATAAAAAATGCAAAAATAAAGCTACAAAAAAAGTAATAAAAGTTGATAATACATTACTATGTATTTATTAATATTTTGAGAAATATCTGAGAAAAATATTTGAGAAATTAAATAGATTTTTAAATCACTATTACTGGCTATATCGGCATCCAAGTGCTGAGATTTATTTACTTCATTATCATCTCATGTAAAAATAGATATGTGATACATTTAACTAACATAATACATTCTTTTCGCCATTGCCATTCCTGATTACAAGCCTCTATATATTTTGAGACTTGCAAGTGGAAGTATTAGTCAATTTTTCAATAATTCCACAAGACAATTATATATGCATTAAGACTCTTTGATAGTCGCTATGGGATTCTTGAATTGTAACGTCAGAAGTGAGAAAAATCTACACATGTGAAATTCATCCAATTTACGTTAAAATAAAAGAATCTTTTCATAAAAATCCACTTACAAAGAGACGACTCATTCATAAAATATTCCTAATATATCGATCGAATTGTAATACAATGTAATAATTCTTCGGTTTTACTTGGAAGTTGTCAAAACAGATTCACAAGTTCATTTAATTTTGACATTATTATAAAGGTATATACTTGTGCGAAAACAAAAGAAATTTTCGAAATATTTTACAAATGTGTTCTCTCGATTACAAATAGATTTAGAATAGAAAGCACAAAAATTCCTTTATTTCAGAGAAAATCAGATGACTTTCATCAGATGTATAATTTTCTCGTTTCGTTTCAACGTCATCACCCAAGATATCTTTCACCGCTATCCAAGAATCTTAAAGTTTTGCCGATTTTTAATTAATAAAATAACTCACATATCTTAATACAAAGTATTAAGTACAAAATATTAAGTATTATTTGTTATTTATTCACATAATAAAATAAAAATATTGTCTATTCATGTGAGAGAGGCTTGTAATTAGAAATAGAGAAACTATAAACCCTAAAATGCTGACCTATCTAAAGTACACATCTTATTTGGTACTCGGCAATAGATGCAGTATCAGTAGGAGTTTGTTAAACTCTGATTTGTTCTGTTCAACGAATGTAGCGTTCTCATTCTTTGTTTGGCGCACACACATGATCAGCTGAGTTGTAGGCCACGGATTCTGTACTGTCTCTCCACTGTAACATCTCAGAACAGAAGGACAACCATACATTAGTGTGATTTAAGCCCCATACACAATCATCATCTATTTACCCTAGCCTACAAAAACTTATAAACTGCTTCTGAACATACACGTTCTGCAGTTTTTTATGCTCTGGCAGCATTTTTAACAGAAAACTAGCACCTGAGTGTCCTAAACTATTGTACATATTTTCCTTGTCATGTTCTCTCGCTCTTAATATATACATATTAACACTTGCTGTTGTATGTGTTCATTGTGTTTCTCTCCTATTAGCACAGTTATATTTATATTGAGTTCTCATAGGCATAATGACTTTTCGACTGTGTTAGCAATTTACCTTCTACTTTGCTCTTCTTCGCTGGAGGCTCCATGTTGTTTTGTGATGTAGGTGCCTATAAATAAAAAAAATAATAACAAAACTGAATGTAATATCACAAAACATTCTAGAAAACAGAAAAACTAGTTAAAAATTATTGCAGATATTCATTGTTTATAAAGTAAATAAAATAATAAAACTATTTAATATATAATATTGCACATTACAGATGTGTTAATGTATATGTATATATATATATATATATATCACTTCACATGTACATACCTATATACATATACATATAACTTCTATTGTATACTTATATAGATGTTGAACTATATATAAAAACTATTAATACATCTTGTATTTCTTATTATGTATCTACTTGTACAATATAATGCAACTTATTTCAACAGATATGTAAAACTATAATACAAAAAGAAATTGATACAAACTCTAGGAAAATTATGCTTTATGGCCGCCATTGTTCCTCGCAAAAGGTTAGTTGCGGTTGATCATATATCCCACGAAAAAATACGAGCAAATTTACTCACCATGGACATCGTTCCGTTCATCGTTTCTTGTTGCAGTTGTAGTGGATAACTTAAAACTTGTTTAGAAAATCGATGACTCGCGTAGACACAGAGCTATGCCTGGAATCAGCCTGGAATGTGGAATGCTAGATCGAGGAACGAGAAACACGGAGGAACGCCATTAATTTAAGGGTTGGTTTATAATTGCCCTAACCGCTAACTTAAGGTACCTTTTCATGACTGCGTTCCGTTTCAAGCATATGCACGCGTTTATCTATAGTGCACGTGACGTATAGTATAGATAAATGCGCGCATATACGTGAAACGGAACGCAGCTTGAGTTGGTTGGTTGGTGCAGTTGTGGCTTGCGGGCTACACAAGGCAGCCCATTCGCAGCTTGAGTTGTCTGAACGCACCCAGTGTCGCCTGTGTACGTAGATGGAAGGCGCCCGTCATAATATTATAAATATGTTAATTTACACCATTTTTTCATACTGAAAAGATTTCATGTAAAATGGCTCATCAAAGTGCTGCTCTTTTAACACGTATAATAGCTTCTTCCGTATCTGTTACAGTACAAGCTGGCAAAATAATTCGGGATGTGTTGAGTAGAGGAGGATTAAACATTGTGGAAAAGGGTAAAAATGATCTACAAACAGAAGCAGATCGTTGTGCCCAACAATGTATTATAGCTTCACTTAGTCATCAGTTTCCAAATATTAGGATTATTGGTGAGGAAGAGCTATCTTGTTATGAAGTATCACCTGAGTGGATTATTACTGAAGCTGATCAAGAAGTCTTGCAGCTGAAACTACCTACTCAATTAGAAAACATCAATCTTAAGGATATATGTGTTTGGGTAGATCCATTAGATGGTACTTTGATTTGAAAGTAACGGGCAATTCTATAGACTTAAGATATTTTCTCTTAATTTCAATTTTTTATGTATTTTATAATAAAAGTAAAAAAATTATGAACAAAAAATTATTCAATATTTATAAAATATCTTTTACAGGTACAGCAGAATTTACACAAGGATTGGTAGAGCATGTCACAGTATTAATTGGTGTGGCAATTGGTAAAAGGGCAGTTGGAGGTGTAATACATCAACCTTATTATAAAAATGAAACTGGTATGTATGTTGAAAATGGTCGCACATTATGGGGTATTGATGGTGCAGGATTTGGAGGATTTGTGCCAAAATCACCTCCAGATGGAAAGAAGATAATTACAACTACTCGGTAAAGAATAATTTTAACACATCTAGTATTTTATTATATATTAAATGTTAGATATATTGTTTTTCTATTTTCAGGTCACATTCTGACAGTACTGTTCAGAATGCAATAAAATCTCTGAATCCTGATGAGGTAATATGTGTTGGTGGAGCAGGGTATAAGGTAATTATTAGTCATTAAACATGATTTTTGTCACATTTTATGTACAGTTATTCTAAATATAACTAAAACTTATTGTTATATAATTATATAGAAACACATATATTTATTTTTAGGTAATCCTCTTATTGGAAGGAAAAGCTCATGCTTATGTCTTTGCGAGTTCTGGATGTAAGAAGTGGGACACTTGTGCTCCTGAAGCTATTTTACATGCAATTGGCGGTAGTTTAACTGATTTTCATGGTAAACGCTATTCATATAATCCAGAAATAATATATAGAAATACAAGGGGTGTATTGGCTACTGCACCCAGTCAGTCACATCAATGGTATTTAAGTCACATTCCTGATGAAGTTAAACAAAAATTACAATAAATAATTGCAGCTTGTGTGCATAATATTACTTTTATTTAGTTATCTCTACAAACTTATTTTTTTAGTGTATCTGAAAAGATTTATACATAAGAGAACATTACATTTCTTTCATTACAGTTCTTTTTCTATGCCTCAGGATTAAACTTTGTAGAAAACATTTGTATAACATTTGTACTAATATTTAGTAGTTTTATAGTATTTTCAATCGATACGAATTGAATCGCTCCTAGATCGTTTAATGACATTATTGGGCAAATCGATTCAACTTATACCGGCCGAAAACACAAATTATTTAAAATTGTCTTAAGTTCGTCGCAAGACGTACGGGCCATTTGATTAAAAGCAGAGCCAATAAAACAGCCTTGTACAAGATATAGATTCCTGTTTCAGTTTTATTGTTTTTCTATATTGCTACATTTGTATATTATTTTTATGTAAAAAAAATTTTCTATCTACAATTCACACATTTCTACAAGAGTGGCAGAAAAAAGACAATATTAAATATATTTAATTAATAATAAAAGACTAGCCGAGTTATAACGTATTAGAATATATGGAATAATTTCTTCGCTTGAATTTTTTATAATTTGGCTCGGTTGGTGGTTCAGAGTATTCTCCCTGAGCTGCAAAACGAAATTGACAGTACGTTGTTTAATAATATTATTTTAAATAATTGAAATTTATAATTTAGTAACAACTGTAGAATAAAATTTATAAATTACAAAAATATTTTGTGAATATTATTACTCACTGTCCTCTATCCAAGATGAATCCGTGGTCGAATTAATAACGCTATTCTCTAAAGTGCTTTTGCTGATGTCCGTATAACTTAAATCTTGATATTCGTCGGTATTCTTGGGCGATGATTTTATCGAAGTTTCTTCGTTGAATGAGGTTTCTATAGATTCAAACTTGTAGTCACTTTCTACTGATTCATTCAATTTGTCGTCCTTCGTGGAACCTGCTATTATTTGCAGTAATACGAACGGATCATCAATGCCCAACTTTTGACAAAATTGAGTTGTCTGTTTGTTTATCAGTAATTGCGGATGTTCGACTTGAGTATTTATGTCACACGGATCATACGGTTTGACAGTTTGTGTAAAGTTAAGAGGAATTCGCAAATCAGAGTTAAATCTTTCATATACTGTCTGTTTCTCCTCCTGAGTGGGTGTGTATTTCAACCTATCGCTGCTATACTGTCCAGGCATGTAGTGATTATAACCTTTGACACTCAACAAATGATTTGTCAAATATAGTATCGTCAACCATTCCAAGTCGTAGCTCAGTTCTATCTGACCTTCGAAGGGTATCTCTGGAAGCACTTGAAGAAACTTTCGTTTTGGCAGACACTTATCCAGTGCAAGGAATTTTGTTACTCGTGCTCCACCTTGCTTGTTCTCAGAAATAATCGCTGCAAATTTACAATGCATATGTGCAGAGAACCAATAAACTGGATAGTGAAGTTGCAATAAATCCATGCATGGTTCACTGCCGAGTATGTTGTTTTCTATATCATTTCTAAAACAACAATGTAATATATTACAACTTATATGATATTTAATTTTGATTTAGTGTTAAAAATATTAACTCAATATTAAAACATGTTAAAATACAAGTTTGCATTACACTTGGAGTATTATCACATATTGTTAAGGTAGAGCCAAAGCACAGACTTTTGCATAGTGCATGAGATATAAGAGAATCAACCAAAGCATTTAGAATGAGAAGTAGGTATGAGAATAGAAGGCTAGATTAGTTGATTTTTTTGTCTTATGTGTTATGCACTATGCAAAAGTCTATGCTTTGGCCCTTATAAATAACTCACTTAAAAAATGGCTTTTGTTTGAGCAGTGTATCTTCATTTCCATATTTTGTTATTCCTGCAGGCCAGTCATGCGATAAAAAAATATCAATTTTACCAGATAGCTAAAAATAATAAAAAATAACTAATATTTGATGCTTCCACAATATGCTACATTAATATCTGAAGAAGGTTTCAACCTGATACTATCCCTATGATGAAATCCTAATGAAGTGAACTGAAATGTTTGTGAAATGTCGATATAAAAATGACTAATGCAATTCAAACTCAAAAACCATCTTCAGATAAAAAATAACTATATGTGTATATATTGTATGTAATAAATATAAAAATGCGTATATAATCTTATTAATATCTCATATAAATATATAATAGTTAATTTATATTATTATCTACCTGTTTTAACCTATAAACTTCTAGATTTCTAATATGATATACACTTCTTATTGTTGTGCTGGTATATGGGGGCTTTTCATAACGTCCTTGTATATAATGCTGAGCTTTATAAATGCCTGAAAGTCCCGCAATTCTGATTCCAGCTACATGCACTACACCTGCATATCCAAGATAATAAATATTAGGAGCAACCCATCCTCCATATGGCAGTTCTTGAAGATAATTTGATGCTTCATGATTGCCTCCAATAAAAATAGTTAATATAGGAGCTTTCTTTTCACCTGAATAATACCTTTGAAAAATTAAAATTAAATATTAAAAAAATTATTTATAGGTAAATGCATATAAAAAATTATTCACTCAAAAAAATTTGAAAACAAATGTAATAATTGGAACACTGACAAATTATATTGCAATAGATATTAACATGATTTTTTTAATACTCCCATCAACTCACTTATAAAATGTACACATATCCTTGTATTTGTCTGGTACAGCCATACATTCTAGATCGGTTAAGTTTCTCGTAGCTTGAAAATCGCCACAGCAGATAAGCAGATCTATATTTATCTCATAGTTATTTCTTATTTCTTCTATAGTCTCGTAAATAATTTCTAACTCGCCATGAGCACAACCCACCACAGCAATTCTCATTTTTTGACTTGACTTTTTAAAGACTTGAAGACTCAAAAAATGAAGACATCTTTTCAGCCAACCGCGCAGTCTATATATTCTACGTCTACGAAAGAAGGTGCGTTTAACGGACGAGTTTTCGTTCATCCGGTTTCTCTTCTCAAATTGAACGCAGTATATCTTGCTTACTAAAATGCTATATTTCATGTCACGTGTATTATAGGTTTTGGTGACCAAGGTGGGATTTTAGAACATAACCATGGTGTCACGCAACTTATATCAAAGAAATCATTGTAGACTTTGCTGTACGATTTTAAAATTAATTATTTAATTATGTTAAGTATACATTATGTATAAAACTAATTATAATTAATATATTAAATATATCAAATATATAATACCATATATATCACTATATAGAATTTTTTCTTTTGGTACATAAATGTTTGTACTTATTTGTAGAGACAACAAAAATATAGAATAAGAGTGATGTGTACTCATAGTCAGATCTTATACTCATGATCTAGCTAGAAATCCTGGCCAAAGAATTTTTTTATCCTGAATACATATACACTTATATTTGTTTGCTTAACACAATGATAAATATGTATAATTAAAATCTTATATTTAACTAATGAAGATTTAATCGTCATAGAATATAGCAAAAAGAATTATTACAATGTTACATTTAAATGATACATAAGAGTGAGTAAAAGTTGTTAATTTTATAAAAATATGCTTTCTAATATTGCTACTCTATCTTCTTCAAAATTATACAATATGTTTACATTGTTACTGTTAAAATATATTTTACATTTTATAAATGATGTAAAATCTTATATCTAAATTTAAGTTGCGTTTTTAAAATGACAGTTTGAATTTATATATATAATGGAAAATTGTTACAAAAACAATTTGTCTTTTGTTTTTGAATTTAACGACTGATAATCTCACGATAAATTTGTACATTTGCGCGATTGTCGAAGTGATAAATATTTTCGATTCTCACCTCTGCGATGTTTGTTGATTATCGGTTGACGACTCAACCGACAATTTCAAAAATAAGAAACGCAAACATGATTGAAAACCGAGGTGACAATGAAAGTTCAACAACCAGAAGAAAAAAGTCTGTAGCCATCGACGAGAACAGTTCACAAAGACGTGTAAGATAGCGTAGCGCGAGAGATTGTTAAGATCATTCATTATATTGTATCCATATAATACCTTGTTTATAATAAAGTTAATCGTTTATTTCACCTTTATAATAAAATAAAGTGATTATTATAAAACCTACATATATACATACATACATATATATATATATATATATATATATATATGTATGTATATTTTATTATCTGAGGACTAGAAGATTTTTATATCTATATGTTTTTAAACACAACTTAGCCCTCAGATGACGATTTGATCACTTTACAAGAATTCTTCGCACCAGTCTGTAAGGCATTGGTAACAATCTAAAGACTGTTTAGCATTTGCTGAGCAGGCATCTTTCATCCATTCTTGAAATAATTCCTTATTCTTCTTTAGCACTAAATACTGTCCTAATACTACATATGCCTATAAACAGGTATTTTTCAATTCAGTTATATTTCAATATAAAAAAATTTTAAACATTTTAATATTAATCTCTTAATACATAAGTTTTACTTGAATATATATAACACAAGTGTATAACTTTGTACTTTTTAAAATAATATTTCTATGTGTTTTAAATATTACAGTAAATATTCTTATTAGACTATGAAAGTTTTAATCTTTCTTATTAATATATAGTTTAAAAAGTTCTAATGACCTTGTCAAAACCTGCAGCTTCTAATCTTTTGCCTAATACTTCTCCAACACCAGCCAATTCTGTAACAGGTTTGTCTCCCATTGGCTCTGCCACAAAATTTTTGTGTTTCTGTGATGTAGTAGACATTTTAAATCTAAAACTAAAATAAATATCAGTGATTTATGTACTTTTTCTTTATCAAAAACTTGTGTATACATAAATAGTGCAAACAATTATTTGATAAGATAAAAATATACATTCCTAATATATATCATAGCTTATAACCTTAAACAAATTTTTTCAATGTTTTCGAAATGTTTTATTATTTACAGATTGCACAAAATGCATATACAACAAATAAACATCAGAAAACATATGTATATATATATATACATGCTGTATATATATACATATATAGAAATAAACCAAAATGTTATAAAAATAAATATGAATAAGAATACATATGATTTATAGTTGATTTTTGGTTACATTACAACCGAAACAAATAAATATTAAAAGCAATTAAAAGTCAAGTTTCATTCAACTTACAATACTATTTACAATACATACACAATGCTACTTTTCTGTGCAGTATTAATCACTTATTGAATAACAATGATTTGTATATTCAATCACATCAAAATTTGCAACACAATCAACAACTTCTTTTTTCTTCTTTGCTTATATGGCGCATACCCCTGCACGGAAGGAGCAAAAGCCAATCTGAGACTGTTTTTTAATCACTAGAATATGGACTACTTTTTGTTCTAAAAAGCTTTGATTGGTTAATTCTCTTAAGGGCCTTCTACAATAAGATATTAGTAATAAATCAGAAGTCAGAAGCACAAGAAATTGACTAATCACAATCGATTATTCTTCTGTGATTGGTCAATTTCTTGCTTCTGACTTCTGATTTATTACTAATATCTCATTGTAGAAGACCCTTTATATCTTATGCGTTATGCATTATGTAAAAGTCTGTGCTTCGACCTTAACATAGCAAAGGTACACATAGCTGTGGCTGCGTTCCGTTTCACGCATATGCGCGCATTTATCTATACTATACGTAACGTGTACTATAGATACATGCGCGCATATGCGTGAAACGGAACGCAGCCATGGAGTTGCGCTCTATGACGCAGATGCAGAGTCCACATTTTGAACCACACATGTCTACATTTATGAAAAGTACAATATATTGAAATGGTTGGTGTATATTTATATACTATCTTAAATATATTTTGGATCGTTAATCACACTAAGACCATAATTTTCGCCAAAGTAATTGTAAAGGAAGAGTGCCTTTTCTTCTCTGAAGTACTGGATGAAAAACATTAAAGTCTACTTTCCTCAATTCCTCTAAATAGTTTTCCACACAAACCGTTGGCAAAAATATTACATCCAAATTGCTTTTTGCTGCCTTTTTAAGCGACGTAGCCTAAAACAATAAATAATATATTGATGATGTTTGGTGATTTTAAAGTTCAACATAGAATTGGAAATTCAAGTCAATTTAATTAAATCTTTTTATATAATAGGTTTGTTTTACTTCCTGCAGTGATTGCACTAGTTCACAGCCTATCTTTTTTTATCCATATTAGAAAGAAAAAGATAAACTGTGAACTAGTGCAGGGAAATAAAACAACCTACTATTGAGCTACAAGTCTATAAAGAAATAACAATGTACCATTTCCAAGTGTTGATTGGCACAAGACGCAACTTCAAATATTGCATCCTTAAGTCCTGGACTTGGTTGTCCTTGAAAAATGGATTCAAAAGAGACACTATTCTTCAGTAAAATATCTTGCGGCAACACCATAATTCGTTTTCTAGCATTATATGGTATAGAACGTATCAAAGTGACAAGACCATGTGCTTTGCCGAAATGGCTGGCTGCGTGATCTGCATTTATATCCATCGTACCTTGTGCTTCTAACAACAAGTAATAGATCGATGACATAGTATAATCGCTATAGCTCTCAAGCGATTCTAAATTCACAAATATTGAACTATTTAACTTATTTAAGCGAGCGTCAATCAAACGCTTGAAGTAATGCTTGGAGAGCTTGTGTCGTTGAAGAATCTACAAGATGCAAAAGATCTCTAGCTTCCAACTGATCTCAACAATCTTGTAAACATATCATAAAGCATTTAAACATCTACCCTGTGTAACTCCAGTGCTACAGGACTTCTTGGCGGATAACCATTGTAAACATCATTCAGAGCATCTGTCCAAAACTGTAGTCGCATAGTTCCTATCTTACCATCACTCACTTGATCTTCTACTTGAGCTACTTCAACATTAAATGCACGTATAGCAAATGCTGCTGATTTAATTACATGAGGCAGTAATAAAGTACACAGAAAGTTCTCATAATCATTTTTCCTGAAAAGAAGAACTATATAATTTGAAATAATTTTTTTGATAAAATATTTTTATTTGATGCACTTTTAAAATATTTAGTGATATTACTTTATTTAATAGATAGAAAAAAAAAATATATATATATGATATATTTAAATATAGTTAAATATATTTAATATTTGTTTTACTTATTGTCTGAAAAATACTTTAAAAAATAGACATTGTACAAATACCAAATGTTTGGTAAAACTATGTGAATCAACAAAATATTGCAGAAATATGAATAAATATTTCTTTATTGATTTTAATAATTACTATTTTAATTAAAAAAATATTTTACAAAAAATATTAACCCTAATCCTATAAACGTTTTTTTTTTTTTAGGTATGTGTTCTGTAAAATCTAGGATTTACAGGATTAGGGTTACATATGTCATATAAGTATATATATGTATAATATATGTGTGTATTTATAAGTATCATGTTTATGTATAGTTTTAAATTGAGCAAACAAAAGAACAAGTACCTAACAAGCTGTAGGCAATATTCAGACGGAGTTTGTTTTTGTTTCTGTCTCGTAGAAATTGTGTTTTTATATCGTAATCGCAATCGTATACTTTGTTCAACAATCGACGTAAATGTTGTTTTATTCATTATTCACGTGATAAACTTGTCAATTGTAACAAATTTCTCACTTCTTTGGTTTGGTTTGGTGCTGTTGTGGCTCAGTGGACATGTTAAGCTAGTCCATACGCCATTCTGTGAAATTTCTCACTTCTCAGGGCACGATCACAAACAGATCGAAAAAATAGAACGGAAAAAATTTATAGGAAGTCACTTAGTCGGAAATAAACGAGCTATTGGAGCTATTCCGTTCTGAATTTTTATACTCTTTCGGTCATATGGTACACAATTGGAACGAAATACGGAACAAAATTATTCTGATTGGTTGTCTTTTCACTATAACTTTTCATTCCGCTTTTGTGAAAAAAAAAGTTATGGTGGGAAATCAACCAATCGGTTCGGTTTTGTAGCGGCTAAAGCCCCTTGCACAATGGAAGGAATAGCGGTAGCGATAGAAATAACACCAGTTTTATAACATCTTGAGTACGAGCCCGAGGCTGTGTTCAGTTAAGCAAGATGGAACGAACTAATGGAGGAAATGCAGGAAATACAGGAATTGGAACTAATGAATTTTTGTATTTCCTGCATTTCCTCCATTAGTTCGTTCCATTTTGCTTAACTGAACACAGGGCTGTGCTCAGTTAAGCAAAATGGAACGAACTAATGGAGGAAATGCAGGAAATACAGGAATTCATTAGTTCCAATTCCTGTATTTCATGCATTTCCTCCATTAGTTCGTTCCATCTTGCTTAACTGAACACAGCCCGACACAGATAGGCACGCCTATTGTGAAAGACGGCCGTGTATCGCGTGGTAGAAGAATACTGCACAATCCCCTCTTCTATACTACTTACTCCACAATTATTATTGGAGCTGCGCTCCTAACTATAAAAATATGAGACACAGAATGGCGTATGAACTAGCTTAACTGGTCCTCTGAGCCACAACTGCACTAAACCACCAACGGAGCATCAACCAGCTAGCTAGATTGGAAGTAAATATGGCAAAATTATTGGGATTGGATAAACTTGTCACGGTTTTCCGTATAATACGCGAAAATGGTGGAATTATTAATTCTATTAAAACATTTTACAGGTTAATTATTATGTTAATTTTTACTAGAAATTGTATGTTACATTATTTAAACATATGTATATTTTGAACATTTAATACATATTAACTACTAGTGTTGTGTAATTTGTGTTGTGTATTTAGTCCTAAACTTTTATGATTGTTCTAAAGTGTTGTGTGTGTATGATATTGTCATTCAAAGATATTTATTGCAAAAAATTTTTTAAATAATACTATAGATGTTATTTAAATCTTTATCAATTTCATAACATATATTTACTTTAAAATTCTACACATCTTTGATAGAACGGATGATCTGAGAACTGGGACGCTGGTTGGAGTGGATAAATTTGGAAATCGATATTTTGAGAATAACACATTTTTTGTAGGTAAGTGCTAATTTAACATATAATAATAGTGATGTGTTGAAATCCATTAGAGAAAATATAAAAAATGTATGTATCATTTCATTTTTAGATATGTAAGATTTCTACAAATTGAATTCTAACAAAACATACCAGTACTTTGTCACTTAGTTTATTTCATTTTTAATAGGTCGTAATAGATGGGTAAATTATTCAGAGAAAGTTGGATTGAATTATGATGGCTCACAAGTTCCAGCAGAATGGTTTGGTTGGTTGCATTATAAAACAGATTTACCACCACATAAAGATCCCTCTCGACCAAAATATAAATGGATGGCGGAACACAAACCAAATTTAAGTGGTACTAATCAAGCTTATATGCCTTACAGTACTACAAAACCGAAAATTGAGCCTTGGCAGCCACCACAGTGATAGATGTTATATAAACAGCAGTAAAATAAAAGCAGTTTAATTAGCTTGTAACAAAATATTATTGATGTAAAGAACTAAATAGAGCTCTGTTGAAATTGTAAATATTTAAAACGCAGATATTTTCTTCTTTTTTCAGCGAATCCTAGTACAATAACGTCAAAATAAAAGTGACAACATAAACGATATTTAATGAACTTTTAAAATGTTTAAAACTATTTTAAATAATAGAAGAGAATAATATCTATCTATATAGTTTTAAATATTTATTTAGGTTAAACTATATGTACATAT